TTTGATTCATGACCTTCTTCTCCCATTGGTTTTTGGTAAGAACAAAGTCTATAGTAGCTTAGATTCAAGAATTGGAAAATGTTAAAACTGCTAGGTTGCTTTGTACGATCGATACTGTTGCAAAAGTAGACTTGTAGTCGCACATTTATAGCCAGGTATCCTTCAGAACAGTTGCTATTGATTTATGCCATTCAAATATTCGTAGGCATAGAATATCATTTTAAATACATAAAAGAATAAAAAAAAGGTATAAAATATCATTTTGAAGAAGAAATTGGTCAAGCTTTACAAAAAAAAAATCCGTGAGAAAAATTAGAATTAGGAGGACAATTTAAATTCTCAGATATGAAGTCAAATATGGACACAAGCAACAGAAAATCATTAGATAGAGAATATTAGATTATTTAATTATATAAGAATTTTGAACATAATTAACAAACAATGGTAGATTTGGTAGATAAAATAAGGTAGTTGAATTAATTCTATTGATTCTTATCAGAATTAAGCATTCGGTTAGGATTTTTATACTGAAAAAATTATGCACAAGTTCAGCACTACTTAATAAGTTCAGCAAATGAATTTTCATTTATCAAACACTCCAAACATTTGAATGTCTGAAAAAGTTCAGATTTAGCACTTTTTCATATCATCAAGCAAACTCTATGTTAGAGATAAGGAATTCTTAAAGAGAAGTAAATATGTCCTTTTTTTTCTATATGTGAAAAAGCTAGTAGGTCTTATCTCCAATAATATTGCTTGGATCCAATGTTCAATCGTATAGATTAGTAATGCGTATATTAAAGTGTATTATATGAAAAGACACCTTCTAATTACTTATTTTGCCTGATCGGACTACTAAGATATGGTAATCAGGACGCATTAAAAAAAAAGATAAATAAAGACAATTAGATTATGATCTCAACTCAAAATTTTAATATTTAACTAAATCTCAAGAGAAAATGAGCTTTTTTTACTACTGGAAATAAATTCTAGCCCTTGTCATTCTTACTCTAGCTGAAGGTGATGCTATGTGAAGTTGAATATCACGTATAATTATTGTAGGTGGAGTTTCATAGAGAAATTTCTCAATTGTTCATTTCGGTTTTTGAAACATTCATAAACTACTGCCTTTAACCATTCAACATAGTTGTCCAATACCATTTCTTTGGGAAAATTCATTACTCAGTCAAATATTTGGGATTTAAATTTCCGATAAGTCACACCTAGAGTTGAACCAGTTGCATGATTTGTACGGATTTTCTTATTTGTTGATCCATTGCAAATAATAAGCTCACATGAAGACCAAGTCGAAGAACCAAAAGTGTCTATCTAACAAGTGCTCATTAGACACTTATTAAGGTATATTTTAGATGTCATATTTTTTAAAGTGTAACATTAATTAGAAAAAATAATTAAATACGAGGGAGGTTAGGTAACATTAAATAAGAAAAGTATATAAATACAAGAGAAGATAATAATTGTTAGTCTGTATATATATATAGCAGGTTAGGTAAATTTTAAATCTGTTAACGAGTGCCCAATGGACACATGTTAAAAAAAAACAACCAATAAAAAGGGACATTGCGAAAACAATAATCTTCATCCTTCTGGAGTAATAATTGAGATTTTTACAGCTGGACTATTATGATTGTAGCACAAGACTAAATTGAATTACAACATCCAAAGGCAAAAATAACCATAAAGCCCGGATTCTCAATGTGGCATTCCATATTTTAGTATTGCCTCCTCAACTAAGCCCTTCGATATTAAGCTTTGAATGGGACAATCTTATCCTATTAAGTCCTGAATTTACCAACAATTGAATTGAAATATTCAGATTCTTGGAGCAACAATTCATACCACATGTCTCACTGCCCTATTTTGAGCTTGTTATCAAACATTTATCGTAATTGGCTGGCATAATTTGATTTTATAAACTCATCCTTGTGGAGAAACATTTCTGTCAATCCATACTAAGAAAAAACGTGTATGGATTGCTACACGTTCCATACACTTTTTTTCTTAGTATGGATTGCTAGTTGGCACAGGTTTTGGTTTTGACAAGGATGATCTGGTAAAACCAAATTGTGGAGACCAATTATGATAATGATAAGCTCTAATAAAGCCATGAAACATGTGATATTAAATATTGCCAGATAATATATGAAAAGTTTGTGGGGAAGTCCAATCCAGATTGGGGAAAAACAAAAACAAAAAGATTATGAATATGGCATGAAATTTGCTTCCATACAAATAAATAACCCATGTTTTTTTAGGCTTGTTAGGAAAACGTACAATCGATTAACGCTTTTATAAATGCTTATAGGTACTGTTCTTCATTTTTTTTTCAGTGATTTTTTTCCTGTCTTTATTACGTATACGTGTAGCTAATCAAGAATTACAAGTTATTCAAAGAATCTTACATTATTTAGGAATAATTGCCTGCCTTCTCAACTAAAGTTGAGGGAAAGTACAAATCAAAAATTGAATTTAACATCCAACAAAAGTTGAATTTGAAATCCATTTCCTTTACCCAATAGAGGATTGAGGCGCTGTACAATTATCAACGCAATCGCATGGTGTAATGTAGATGTTGATACAACACAAGCAAACACTAAAATAATAATTGTAGGCACTGAAACAACAATACGTACTAACACACCAAAAAAAAAATTCGGTTGTTGAAATTTTGTACCCCAAATTCTATCCGAACTACTTAATTTTAAAGTAATCCATCTTCCAACATAAATTGTTCCCTACAATGCACACTGTAATTGCACAGAATTTAGTTCCCTCAATAGAACTTAACTTTGATGCATTTAAAATTTCCTGAAAATCGGACCTATTTGGCAAAGGAGTTTTTGACCAAGTTTGTCTCCTACAATTTTTTTAATAACTTTAACTACAGGAATCTCAAAAAAAATTTCGAAATTTTTAAACTATAACCTAAAAAGAAAGAGAAGAAAAAGAAAAATTTTCCATCTTAAAAGATAAGAAAAACTTCTCAAAGTTTTTTTTAAAAAAAAGAAAGAGTGAAAAAAAGTTTTCTATCTTAAAAATTTATTCTACAACTTCAACAATATGTTACAGTAAAGTTTTAAATAAACACTTAAAAAACTCATTTGTCAAACAAGCCTCTAGTAGTACCTATATCAATGTCAATGGTTCAAATTTTTAGGAAATATGCAGGACAAAGTCAATTGTGAAACAGCGCTAATTGGTCCGATGGCAAGGAGTTTGATTCCTCTTAAGTAAGGATTTTAGGTCTGAGTCTCTTGAATGGAGGGATAGACTAGGGGTGCAGAGAAATCGAGTAGCTTGAATCGAGCTCGCGAGTAGCTTGGTTAGATACTTGACTCGAACTCGGTCAAATTCGATCTCGAGTCGATCTCGAGCTATTCGCTATAGCAAACGAGTCGATCTCGAGTAGTCGGTAGGAGGAATTTTAGCTCGTCGAGTAGCTCGAGATCGGTAGCATATATGTATTGTATATTATTTTAGTTATTAATTTACTCTTTTAGGTTTGTTAGCTAGAATATTTACGAGCTTAACCAGTTATGTTGTAGTAATAATGAAGGGTGAATAAGTAATTTTGGCTTGACAAATATGATGAAATGATGAAAACTGAAAACTCCTTTCGTCCTTCGTTCTTCTTCTTCGCTCCTCTTCAGCCTTGACTCTTAAATCTCAATCTCTCATTCTTTGAGTCACAAGGCAGCCACGACATCTAGAGCTTTAAATGCTTCAACAGTTCAGCTAATCTTCCTTCTTCCTTCTCCTGGACTTGGAGGCTGTGAGCTCAAAATGGAGTAGGTTGCAGTGGTGGGCAGCCGACCTTTGAGCGAGGATTTGAAATCAAATCAAAACCCACCAATTTCAGCAATTGCATTTGACAAATTGAGGTACATATTGTGCATTTGTGTAGTAAATATGTGCATTAAGAGGTTAAATTTTATAAATGTAATATTAATTTTTAATCTCGAAACCCTAACCAAAAAAATTGGGGGCTGCAATTCAATAGATTCCATTTGCATATCCCATTCCCTCTCCATTGCTATACTGGAACTTTGAAGAAATGGAAGGCAAGTCAATTCCTTCAACAAGCGATTCAGTAGTTGGCGCGACAGCTCCGAGAATTGGTAAGTTTCTTGACGTTGGCTCTAAACATGCTTGTGAGTTTTTCTTTGATGTGAAAGTGCACTGATTTCAGAAATTTGCTTATACATCTGAGTTGCATTATTAAGTGTTAACTAGTTAGTATAATTAGATGTTGTCCTGTTTATGTACCTGTTGGGTCGTGGTTGTACAACTAAGACAAGTTGCTTATGGTTTTTGTGATAATTAATAGAAAACAAAATTGCTTTTATAAGCAAAGATAGGTTTGGTTTGTGCTTGTTATAGTCGACCTGTCAAGGATAGACAAATGATGATGTCTCTGCCATTGCCCCTTGATTGTAGAGTTTTCTTGTTGCCTGATTACAGATCTGGATACCTACTTCGTGATAATTTGTGTTTTCTAATTACTGCCATTAGATTCATGCAGCTTAGGATTTAATTTTGCAGAATCAGTGACTATTCATGTTCTTGAGGTAATTTATAGCAAATTGGCTGAATCATATTTTGTCATGCTACCAAAAATTTCATGCTTTAATGAACCTGTGACATGTCCATGAAGGATAAACTAGAAGACTAGTTCCATTGTTTTGACATGAAAATTGCAGATTAACCGTAATTTTATGGAAGAAATAGATGTACATTACTTGATTGTAGGCTTTTAACTTTTCTGTCAGTGACAATTGAGTTGAAATCCGAAACTGAGTTGATGACTACTCTTCTTTGATTTGTGAAAAATTCTTTGGGGGTCTTGTATATTTCTTAATTAGGACTTTAGGAGGCATATCATATTTCCTTAGAAACTATGTATATCCTTCATTATTTATAGCATTTTATTTCAGCATTCATTATTAGATTATATGATTCATAAGCTGAATTTTTAAGACATGTCCATTAGTCCTCTCGAGGTTTCTTCAATACCACGTGTGTCTGGGACCAATTCATCCACACCAGTCATGATTGATAGCCCAATATTTGTATGCCGTGACACCTGTGATCCCACACAGGAGGACGGTGAAACACAACAAAGGGGAACCGAAGACACCAATAGACAGCAAGGAGATGCAGCTGTAGATGATAGTACATTTCGAGTACCTAAAAGGAATAAAACATCTGAGGCATGGGAAGACTTCGACGATTTGGAAGAAAATGGCATATATTATGCCATATGTAAACATTGTAGCAAGAAACTAAATCGAGGAAAAACTAAACAAACTAGCAGCATGTGGAGGCATCGAGAAAACTGTTCCGTTAGAAAAGCCAAGCTTAGAAAGGCCAAGCAGCAGACAAAGATAAACTTTCAGCAGGCGGATGAGCGTTTTCCAACTGTACCACCATTGCACACGAGCAAATTCTATATGGAAGCTATGAGAGAGGCTGCTGCACATTGGATCTTGATGCACGAGCACCCTTTCACAATTTTGGAGGAAGAGGGTTTCAACCTAATGATGAAACGTGGGTGGTTGAAGTGGCAGAAGATCTCACGCATGACAGCTAAAAAAGATTGTACACAGATGTATGAGATAGAGAAAAAGAAGTTGAAGAACTTGCTGAGACATGTACAAAAAGTGAGGTTGACCACTGATATGTGGAAATCAAAGAATCAAAAAATTGAATACATTGTGGTGACCGGGCATTGGATTGATGGAAATTGGAAGCATCAGAAGAGGGTGTTAAATTTTGTTCATATCCGACCACCACGTCAAGGAATTGAGATTTCAAATGCAGTTTTCAAGTGTGCAAAGGAATGGGGAATTGAGGGAAAAATTCACACTATTTCCGTAGACAATGCCTCAAACAATGATATGGCCGTGAGATTGTTGAAAGATGATTTCAGTAGATGCAAGAAGCTATTGGGTGAAGGAAAACTATTTCATGTTAGTTGTTGCGGCCATCTCTTTAACCTTATGGTTCAAGATGGCTTGAAGGAGATAGTAGATATTTATGAAAATATTAGAGATAGTGTGGATTTTGTGAACAAGTCTGATGGTAGGGCATTGCTATTTGCAGAAATTGGTCAACACCTGCAAATTCCTGGAAAAAAATTGCTCCATGATTGTAGGATGAGATGGAATTCAACATATGAAATGTTGAGTTGTGCTGTAAAATATAAGGAGGTTTTTCCTCGTTTTCAAGTTGAAGAGCCCCTTTATGAGTCTTGTCCATCTTCAGATGATTGGGAGAAAGTTGAGAAAGTTTGCACCATTTTAGAGAAGTTCTACACAGCCACACACATAATTTCGGAGAGTGAGTATCCAACTGGCAACCTATTCCTCCTTGAGATTCTAAAGGTGAAGAAACTCTTGGATGCATGAGTGGATGATGAAGATGATTTTGTCCGGGGTATGATTACAAGAATGAAGCTCAAGTTTGACAAATACTGGAAAGAGTGCAATTTATTGATGTCCACTGCAGCTATCTTGGATCCCAAATAGAAAATGCGAGCAATAGAGTTCGCCTTCCCTAAGATGTATTTCACATATGAAGCTTAAGAGAATATCACAGATGTTCGAAAAGCCATCTTTGAGTTTTATGACGAGTACGTTGCTATGGCTACAAGTGGAAATGCAGGGACAGATTGTTCATTAAATGCTGCATCCGAAATAGTGTGTCTACCTCAAGCAAGTGCTGACTATTGGGATGATTTGGATGAGTATTGTGGTGAACTCGAATCCGATGAGCCCCACAAGAGCGAGTTGGTGGATTACCTAGACAAGCCTCGCCAACCTACTGGACAAAATCCAAAGGATTTCAACTGTTTAGATTGGTGGAAAATCAACCGGTCACCATACCCGGCACTCTCTCAACTAGCAGCTGATGTATTGGCCATTCTTATCACTACCGTCGCATCTGAGGCCACCTTTAGTGCTGGAACTAGGGTGATTGATTCCCACCGTGCTTCACTTGCTTCAGAGACAGTCCAGATGTTAATGTGTGCGGGCGATTGGTGTAGAAATTTACACGGGATTAAAAATTTGTTATTGCAGAGATAAATTAGTATTTATAAGTTTGTTTGTTGATTTTATAGTATTATATTTATTTGCATTTCCACCACCTAAATGCAGCCACAAAAAGCTCTCAAAGAATATGAGCTGCCCAATGTTTGAAATTGCATAAGGAGCAAATAACTTGCTGGAAATTAGGTCCATCTTTTTTGTGAATTCTGATTTTCTTGTTCTTAATTTGCTTTAAGTTGTGTTCAAATTTTAAATTTAAATTGCACATAAGTTCGTTGATTTGTCATTTGTGTATGGTTAGGTATTGTAGATTGTACATCGAAGTTGAAGATGCATAAGGAGCAAACAAGCTATTGGATTTACCAGATTACAAACAGGAGCTTCTAAATGCTCATTAGACTCTAGAAAATTTCCCTAAATTTTTCCTTTCAATTGGCTGCACTCTTGTTTCTATTTTCGTGAAATTCTGATGAGGTTGAAAATAGGTTGTTGCTTGTGTATATTGCTGAAATGTTAATGTGGATCATGGCCACTTAGTTTCTGCATGCGTATGGTTTTTCTTTAATCTGCCTGCCCTTTTGTTTCTCATTGGTTTCTCTTTTGTGGAATTTCTGAATTTAGAAGCTAGAATTCTTGAATCTTGATCATGGCCATACTTGGTTTCTGGTTATTGGTTGGAATCTGTTGAGAAGGCCTAAAACTAGTTATCGCTGTATCGCATACGTTTGTTTCTAGTTATTGATCATGGCCATGAGGTGCTTGTCCTTCAAAGTTCAAAGAAGCAACGGCATGCTTCTAAGTCTTATCCATTTGCTAGGCTCCAAGACTTTAATCGGCTTCTACGTTTTGTTTCTTTGCATTGCAATTAATCTTGTTCAATTGATATTAATGTACTTTAATTCGAATGTTTACTGCAACTTAGTTTATTGTTTAGTACAAATTAGTAGTGTTGCATTTAAGATACAAAGTCTAGATTCTTTAGATTATTAGAAATTGTGCAAGAAAGGGGCAAACTAACAAATGACAGTAGGATCATCGAGCTCGAGTACTCGACTCGATATTAAGCTCGAATGGCATGTCGATCTCAATCGAGTCGAGTTCGAGTCTGCTTATGTTATTATCAAGTCTCGAGCTCACTCGAGCTCTAGTACGTCACTAGTCGAAATCGACTCGACTCGATTTCACCCCTAAAACAGACAATAGGAGATTTTGACCCCTTAAGAACGACCCGGATTGACTCACGATTATACGGGACTCAAAGTGGCATCTAGACACCGATGCTTAGACACCAAAATAAACCCAATAATAAATAATTGAATCTTGGGAAAACTATGAGGTAAAGCCAATACAGTAACAAACTGACTTAAGCTATGGTAGACGATTATCAGAAAAAGAATAAACTAATCCTTCTAAGTGTACTTCTTTAGTAGTTCTTGTCACATACATTTATATATGATCCACCAAAGTACATCACTTATTGAAATTTCTTTAAAATTCTCTCGTGCACTACGTGAAATTTCTAACCATTGGACCTTGGTCCAATGACCAAACCCCACTTAGTGCATTGCTTCCTTTGCTCTTAAAAAATTCAAAAAGTGCAGTAGTGCATTTTTTGATTTTGTGGTTCACTCTTTAATCCCTATACAAGTCTTTTTAGACTCTTCCTTTTTCATAATGTAGGCTAGTATAGGAGTAAGATAAATGTCACTAAAAAAACTGAAATTTCTTATTGTGCCATCTTAAAATTATTTAATGAATATGTATCTAACTAAATTTAATAGATTGGAATTTGAAAATCTAAGTCAAAGGGATCCAAACTATATCCTATCAATTGCCATGCCTAATATCAACTCTGATAAATTTCTCGACAACTCTCCAGGCGCAAAGATTTGATAAGAGAAAGGAAATACATCTACCCATGGTAGATCGATCAGGAATTGAGAGATATTCCTTCGGCCCAAATGAAACCATTCCTGGAATTTGGGCCATATAAACTAAATGGTGTCAGGTCAGGACATAGATCCGCCCTTTTACGGGAGGCTTTCCTTATCGCGAAGCCCTAACACCATTTGGACATGAATGTCTATCCGTTAGGAAAATTCATGGTGCAATGGCTTCTGCTCATGAGAATTTTGTGCAAATTATACCATTTGATTCCAAAAATGTTGTCTTGATTAGACTTCAATCCTTTTAATTTAGTTGCCTCCATTTTATATATCTGAATTACAAAACTTTTGAGAACATAATCCAAGCATGACAAAAATTATCTCTTGATGAGCTTTTATTATAAAAAGAAAATAAAAAATTAATAAATCCTCCCAAATCGAGATGAATTAAAAGCTCCCAAGCCAGGATTCGAATCTTAAATCTAAAAGGGAAGATTTTAAGATCCCTCCCCTGACCACTGAACTTTAATTACTAATCTAATAAACTCTTTCTCTATAAAAAGAATATCCAAGAATTTCATTCGCTAACCCTAACTGCCCTTTTATTTTTTATGTTAAATATCTCATTCTTTAACATATATTCCAATTTATTATTTTATCGAAAATCAAAATTCTACTTGACTCTATCGTCATTTTCAAACATCAAGGGTCTAAATCAAACTTTGTCTAAAAGCTAAATCCTAAAGGTCAAAAAGTCCAACTCTATCAAAAACCGGCCGTAATGTGTGGTCCAACATCTAAAATTGACATTAATTCATAAACAAAAGGCCTCTTTTGAACAAAACTTGTACAAATTACTCGTTTAATTAAAGTCATAAACTCCGCCTCCAATAGATAAATGCCACTTGTTATCTCCTTATTCCATAAACTAGTAAAAGATATCAGCACGACTTCAGGGCACACACCGAAAGAGAAAAAGATCCGTCGGGAACCTTTTTATCTGTACGCGTGGAAATTACACAACGCTTTTCAACTTTCAATTATTTTTTTGGGTACCGAAAATTAGGGCAGGTGCGAGTCTCAAATTACTCCTTTTGTTTGTGATTTACACGTGTCGTCCATTTAATTGCGTTTCTTGTAAGTAATGACAGTGATTAAGACACTTAAGTGGCGATGTCTGCATGTTTTTTTAATAATTAAACACACTAATTGGAGTATTATTCCCCCAGCCAAGAGTGGCTTCTTTAGTTCGCATAGTTAAAACTGTTAGGGAATATTCTAATATTCTTCACAATAGGATAATTTCTTTTTCTTTTTTTTTTGGTGTGCCCCTTGAAAAGACATGGACACAATTTATTGTTTCTGTTTGCTTTTGTTTAAAGCTAGGGTAAATAACATCGACCTTGACAGATTTTCACTAATTGCAACAACATCCTTTGTTAGATTTCTTTCTCTTTTTTTTTAATTTTTTGATAGACCCTTGTTATATTTTTCTAATTCACTAAAATTTGTACCCGTTTGATGGGTGCTCCAGAAACACTTATTAATTTGGAGTCAAGTGTTAAATTTTCAAAGAGATGAAATTGAATAAGAAAATGACTAAGGGTGCGTTTGATAAAATTGAAAATTGAAATCTAAAATCTGAAATTTAAATCTATTAATTTACCGAACTATTAAGTACTAAATTTGATATATTTGAGTGTATATTACATTAAATGTTAAGTGAACAGCTTATTACTTATTTTTAGAGCAAGTTTTGTCTAAAAAATTCAGTACTACTTAATTAATTCAGATGTTCGAGTTTTAGTTATCAAATGCGTCTGAATATGTTAAGATTTGAATCTATTAAATTTAAATATTGAATTGAGTTATTAAATAAAACCTAAATGTTAAAAAAAACAATGAATGTGAGTACATATTTTTATATGGTTAAAATTTATATTCAAAAGTGCCCCTAGTACACTGGTTAGTACACTGGTTTTATTTCTATGGATTTTCACAAGGCTAATTTTGAAATGAGAAACATATTTTGGATTTCCATCACTAACAAAGGAAAGTTCTATTACTTCAATATGAAATCGACAAATATAAGAGTTTGAAGATTTAATAGGTTAAAAGATTAGACTTGGTAATTTTGAAAATATTTGATAGAGTTTTTAGGCTATTTGTCCCACCAGTCATGTATCTTTGTTTTCTTCGTATCTTTACGAAAAGCTGATATGGCATTGTATTATTTAATCTTTTTAAAAGAGTTAAAGCCTAGAATGTGGGAAATCAGTCAAGAGTATGTCACTCACTCATGTGCTTCAGAACTTAATGCAAAATGGTCATCCTACAGTATTTTATAATTTCTCCATTGCTTAAAAAAATCAAAGATTTTTTTCGTTAATATCATCATAAAAGGACACCATGTTGCAAGTATATAATAACCTGCTAATTTAGAAAAGAAAATAATGCTCCTGGAGTCCAGAA